AGATATCGAGAAAATTCTCAAGTAAAAATTATGTCTTAATATTCAATAGATTTTGTTTCTATTATATTTGGATATAATTTTATCTTGAATCGTACAGTATTGATAACATTTTCCTTGTAATTTTTGAAGAAGTTTTTTTTTCTATGAAGTAAGCGTCGATAATTCTGGCAAGCACGCGATTTTTACGTTTTCCCCCGAAAAATAATGATTTTCGTCGGCCAATTTTCCTTAGAAATAGTTTTTTAAGATATTAATAAGTATAAAGATATTTATTTTTCCACGTGACCATGTATATGATATAATATGTAGTACTTGTTATACGTGTTTGCTGGAGAGAAATCGTTAAAAAGTGTAAATAAGTTGTTAATTGCACAGTTCCCCATGATAGCAAAGTGAGAAGAAAATGTTTTTTTCCTCCCAAATTTTTATTAAACTGTGTCATTTATAAAAAACATCATTAAAATGGATTTTCAGTTAATGGTGAATTCCTATTTTTTTTCAAAAATATGAGTTAGAAAGGTATATATACAGAGTGTCTCAGAAGAATCACTTCACAACAATTTCACTCCAATTTTGTTTTTATAGGTATATTTTTTATTTTGATGATGCATTTATATGTGACAACAGATCTAAAATAGCCAATAAAGTAACTTTGTAATACCTATATTCGCTGTCTCTGAGATGATATGGTGGTGCTTAATGTACAATTCTTCTTATTAGGGATGTAGTGAAAAAGTATCGATTTGATTATTTTATCGATACTTAACTTTTTTCGATATATAAATTACCGAAATATCGATATTTTGTTACGTCGATACTTTTACACGTCCCTACCCCTTAGAACGCTAGTATCGACATGCTACTTTTTGCACCGTGTAGTCGGCTGATTTTTCTTAAACTATTAAGACTGAACTTGAAGTTGTTTAATCTTAGCAAAAAATGAAAAAAAAATGATATAAAGGCAATATATTGTAATATATATTTTTGTGCTGTACGTTTGTTGATTACATAAAAATTAGTATCGATTGGAATTTGAAACTGTTTCGTAGTGGCCTACAGCATGCGCTTTCTTCAGGTTTTGATGAGGATGCACACTCGATAAGGGCTGCCGATGTTATTAGATTTTCCCTAAATTTAGAGAAATATATCAGTAACTTAATTTTTAAACATACGTATACAAAGCAGTATACCATAGCCAGATATACCGTTGTTTTTTAACGTCTACTGCAAGCTTTATTTTTCCCTAAATCTAAGGAAACATTGACGATCCGGCAACCCCGCACAAGGCGGTGGACAATAAAAGAATCGAAAAAATCGCGTTGATAATTCCATCACACCCTTGTTGGCAACTGATCTATCTCAAAATATTTTCTGCAAAAAAAAAGTTGTTGAATCAAAATGTTGTTGTACTAAAAAAATAGAATAAAATGGTGTGTCTTGTGGGACCAAAGACAAATAGTTGGAAAAACTTCCGTAGTTTCTTCTTCCGGTGGGCGCCATGCTTGGAAGTGGTTAGCGGTATTCCGCTAATGTTAACTAATCGTAGAACTAATTATTACTATTATTATTAACCTTTGGAGGACCATTGTTCCTGATTCCTATCCCGCTTGCGCCCCGGTACGGTTTCATTTCATCCAAATAAACGACTTATTACACATAAAAAGCGACAAAAAAAGATAGGTCCTTAATTTCTGAACATACTGTCTTTACATAATTGTTTATGGTCTTATAGTGTACTTGGCGACTTAATATGTTTTTCATTAAAATAACAGCAGGTATATTGATTTTTTATTCTAAAGATATTATGATCGGAAATGAGGGACCTAACCGTAAAAGATTATTATTGTATTTTTAGCGTAATAAATGATTTATTACGCATCTTAGATTCTAGACGTAAGCAAAACTACAGGAACGATATTTTAACCTTTGTAAAAATAACACTATAATTAATTTAATAATTTAAAGACAGTAAGATCAAAAATACGGATCCCGACCTTTATATATTTATCGCGTTTTGTTTGTGTAATAAATCGTTTCTTGCGCATCTAATGTTTTAGAACTAAGTTTTAACTAAGAGAATCATCGTTTCCGCCTGCCAAATCCGGGAAAATCACAAAATATTCATCAGGGATAAGAAACATAATCGAAACTGCCGTCCCGTGGGAGCATACACGTTTAAGTTGTGTTTTCCGGTGTTTGCGGTCCCATTGCATTTATTTTTCCTCTCTAGGACGATGTCGTATGGTAGAGTTAAAGAAAAGTCAAGTAGGCAATGAAAAAACTTTGGTTTGATAAGAAAGCTAACCTTACAAAGGTAGAAAAATACTTTATTGTCGTAATTTTCTCGATAATTATATAATTCGTGTGCCTAGTTTTAACTGTAGTCTTTTTAAATTTAATTATTTCAGCCATTTTATAACTTTTCAAATAAATATAATGATTTTTTTTTAAATTAAGGCAAAAAATTGAATGCAGGACATGAAGATTTAATCCTACGATATACAAGGCGAGTCTTAAATAAATGTAAATATTTTTGGGGGTAGTATAATATATTTCGACGCCAGGAACAACGTCTATGAGGTTTCGTCGCAAGAAAAAGAAAGTGCTTTTTCTTTTAAATTTTCCTGTATATTTTAGAAAACTTTTTAGAACTGCCTGTTCACCACAAACTTTCCCAAAGTATAATTTCTTAATCCCTGATATTACCATGGTTATGGCATTACTCTATGGTTACGGCACTAAAACGGATGCAAATACAGAAAAATTCGGTGGCTCTCAAAATTTTTTAAAAATAAATATTTCTTTTAATTTTCAAATTTGAATATATAGCTCGGTTATTTTGGACTTATTTGAAAACCAGTTAGTTGAACCAGACTTATTTGAACCAGCCCTGAAAATATTTGCATTTAGTTTAGACTCCCCCTGTATATATGGATCTATTCTTTATTAAGAGACGAAATTTTTTATTTAGTGTTATCAAATTTACAAAATTATTAATATGTAATGAGTGATTTTGACTATAAAATCGTGTCTCTTGTCAAACTGAATTCTAACAATCCTCTTGACTTACTTTTACGCCAATCTTACGACCTTATTATATGTATAAAAAAGTTTATTTTGTAATATTAATGTTGAAACAGACATACGAAGCACATTATCTGGCTAAATAGCATTCCATGTATACACTGTTGGTCCTGTTAAAATATCTTGATAATTTATATGTTGTAATGATATAATAAAAAATGTATTTTTAAAAATTATAAAAAAAGTGAGCGGTTGACAGAGCGCGGCCATATTGGGTCCGCGCCGTTTTTTTCATTATTTGTTTTATTTTTATTGAATGGGAAGTTTCTATTTTTTCATATAGGACGGTTTCTTGTTATATACATATTATATATAAAAATAAGTGTGCCTAGTCAGTAGTATATTCGAGTCAATTTGAATTAACATTACAATTAATTAATTTTATTTTGATTAATTAATTGTAACATATATGTAACCCACTGTCTAACGTACTAATATTAACGGGAAGCGAGGTTTCTGGAAGAGCAAAAATATCCTCAACGAGTCTTTTGAACCTTCTAGAAACGCCACTGGCTCCATTGTGGACGGTGGGCGACGGTTTTTAAAGGGAGGGGTCAATTTTGGAGCCGCATTATCCTCAAGACCCCTTCGATTGATCTCCTCCCTCAATCTTGTTCGTTAATCTCATATTTTATATCTATTTATTATTATTTAAGTGGTTTTTTCAAGTCTATTTTTAAGTAAACGATGTTTGATAAGTCATATCAGTTTGTTAAAAAGCGTGTATTAATGCAGTGGTGTACTTAATAAAGCATTTTATTTGCTTGAATTGCTGTTTTATTTCTCAATGTCCTTACCTTAGTCCTGACTAAGTCCTTATAGCTCTAGCAATGAAAACACGCTGTAAGCTGGAAGCCACCAAAGCAAAGAAAACACGCTGTAAGCGTGTTTTCAACCAAAACACGTAAGCGTGTTTTGGTTGCTTTCGTTTCCCTCTTCTTTTTTTTTTAGTTTTCCCATTCACACATTATCAACGCATTTTTATTATTAATGGCTATTTTTTCATAATAAAAATAAAAAACAGAAAAAGAAAATTCAGTGGAACTGGCAACATTGCTTTTCCTTTTGTCGCTGTCATGTTAAATCAAGCGTTAAAATTCTCCATAACGTCAAATATGTGTCAAAAACTACTAAAATTAAATTAAAATATTTTAAAATTCTGTGCATAATCTCCATTTATTTCAATTTAAAACTACTACTAAAAATGGTTACTTTTTGATAAATAAAATAAAAATGCAAAAATCGTGTGTCAGGATAGTTCACCGGACCCCAGATTTTAGTCAAAGAATCCAAGAAGTTCATTTTAAGGTAACATAAACTTCATTTTCTAAGAAAAATCGTGTGTCAGGATAGTTCACCGAAGCCCCTAGTACCTATTCTTGACATCATTCGCAGCTTTGCGTATCACGTTTATTGTTATATGGATTTTTCAGAGATGTGAGCGATATTTGAAGATGCGAGTGGTCAAGAATAGGTACACTGTACGGCGAGCCGCGGATGTGCGGGTGTCGAAACCCGCTATCCGCTAGAAAATCGCACCTTACGGACCTGTCCACTGTTTACGTTACCTGTGAAATGTTACTTCGGTGAGTTCCTTCAAGTTGATACCTGTCCTACTCCGACAACTGTGTACAGCACACGACACCATGGTTTTTAACGTTTCTGTAATAGAAAAACATTCAAATTATCGATGAAAAACATTAAATTTTGGGAAAAATGCTCAAATGACAAAATGAAAAAAGAAATTCAAGGCAACAGCTGACTGAGCTGACAGCTGTGGCAACCCCCTCGCCGCCCCACTCGTTTTCCACCGCTTTTCCTCCGTGATTATAATGCAGCCAGAGATATAGGGGAATATCTCTACCGCCACAAGTTATATATGATGGAAATTAATGCCAGAGGAAAATAAGAGGAAGAAGAATAACAAACCAACCTCACCTCAATTATTATTTTCGTTCAAGGTGGAGCGATGTTTAAAATAGTAAGGATTTTTCCTAAAAGGCAGATTTTAAATCCATTTGGATACTCTAAACACCACTCGTTAAGAACTTTCTTAAGTCCGGCGTATTACTGTAACGAAGTATGGGAACACCGCCTTCAGAATCCTATTTTACAGAAGGTAGTTGCCGAAGATTTGTATCACGATTTAGACCACAGATATCAGCGAACTAAACAGATAAGTGCTATAGATGTTGATATTTTTGTTAATTCGATCCCTAGCGACGTATATGTCGACGAAATGCTCGATTTAGTTCATAAATTGAGGCTCACAGCGGACAGCTCGAACACGCTCGATTCCACCAGCCATGCCATCGTACGTAATCTTTTAAAGTTTGACCGAGTTCAGGATCTTATAATTGCTCTAGACGACCGTTTGAATTATGGTTTATTCATAGACAATTACACGGGAAACTTGTTAATGGACACTTTCTGGAAATCGAAGCAGTACGCTAATGGAGCACTAATAGCCAGTTTGTTTATGTTACAGGAAGAGTTTGAGCACCCCCTTGTATGCGCTTTTAGTTTACTACATTGTTACAACTATCTGTTAAATCCGGAAGGCTGGATCGAACCGACAGTACCGGAAGAGCCTGAGGAAGAAGTAAAAGTTCGAGTTAAATATTTGAGAAATCCTTATGATGATGAGCATTTCGATTTAAAAGACCCACAAAAAATAGTTGGAAAAACCTTAGCAATGATCAGTAAAAAAGAAAACGACCCTCTTCATCAAAGTTTTTATATTCTCGGTATGGCCTTATTTGGAAAAAAAGATCTTGTTAATTCAAAATGTTCAGATGTAAAAACTCCTCTATATAAAGAAATATTAGATCTAGTTCCCAACGATAATGAATTAAAAAGTACAGTAAATGAATTACAAACTGAATCTGTTAATGTTCCAAAACTATTAATTGAAAATGTTAATAAAGCATACCAGCAAACATCCGAAAGTGATATAAGTGAGCAGTGCAAAGTCTTCAAAGCGTGGGAAGAGGAACGAGCCAAGGCTATCGAGGAACAAACTGTTAGGTTAACCACAGCAAAGAGGCTTAAAAATATTCAAGATCTTAAGAAAGCGATGGAACGAAAAGAGGAAAAATTGTGGTTCTTCGATAACGAAGAGAAAATTGACCTTGCAATTGATAAGAAGACAATATTCTATCCAAAGAGGTATTTTGGTCCCAAAAAGAAGCCTAAGAAGATTGATGAGAGCTATGTACCTCCCGATGTTCACACTAAACCAACTGGTGGTTCTCAGTTATCATAAATATATTTATTGTAAAATTGTTTTGTACATGTTTGTTTAAATAAAAAAAAATAGAAAGTTATTAATATTAATACCTACCTATCTTTTTCGTTCATTTTCGTTTTCTATTCACGATAATATTTTTTATACTTATCTCTCTGATTTAATATATAAATATATTACACTTAACCATTTCCCCTCATAAAAATAGAGCTATGTTTATTGGATTGTTCTCACTTATTAAAACTAATTAAATTACGGAGAGCTTAAATACAATGTCCGGCTTATTCATAGACCCGCCAAAATGAAGTTTACTTGGCCATATGGACGTACGTGATTGGTCGGGAAAAAACTGTTCTGTGTTGCCATATCTACAAGACTTCTAAGGTTTCTCTTCAAAAAATTATTTTATTTGGCAATATTCTCGAATGTAAAAACATATTTATTGTGTCAACCATAAAAACAATCAGAAAATATACGGAAAATTTGATAATTATTAGTATTTTATTTTTAAAACGAGTTTTAACATTAATATACTGCTGCCAAGTCTGGCAACGTGCATAAGGTTTTCTTTAAACGTCAAAGCCTTGTCAGTTAAACAAATGATTTTTTGGAATTTTTCGTAAAGTAGCTAATGTTTTAATTGTTAAAATAATATTTATCATAATTTAATGTAAGTATATTCATTATTTTATTGTAGTTTGGCTGTATAATGAAAGGGTGGCTGATACGTTTAGGTTATGTTTTTACTAAACGTTTATCAATACTTCCCGGAAAGAAAATCTATTACTATTTTTTCATGAAATCCTTGAAAAATTGATCCAAAAAACATCACTTCGTGTATAAATTATTACGGATATAAGTAACTTTCTTATTTTTAAGTAAATAACAGTAATCCCCGCCTAAAGTCATAAAAGAATGAGGTGTCCTTTAAATATTTGACTATATTTTATCTGCCTATCAAAATAAAGGTTTTTTTGGTTTTAGGATTCTTGGATTAACATACTACACTTAAACATGAAATTAACCGTATTAAATTTTGTTTTAATAGCGGTTGTAATAGACTTTGCACTTGCCGACGATCCCGATGTAAGTGCAATTAATTTTTATTAAACCAAACCATTTTTTCACAATTTAATTAATATTTATAGGATGGTATTACGATAGAAACAGAACCCGATAGCTCAGATTTAATATATGAAAGCCCTCAAGTCTCAGACGAATCAAAAGTGTATTTTTCCGAACATTTTGATGACCCAGCTCAGTTTGACCGGAAATGGATCAAATCTCAAGCTAAAAAAGAGGGTCTGGAAGAAGATATAGCCAAATACGATGGAATTTGGTCTGTCGAGCCTGCTATTAAAGATGCCTTAAAAGGAGACTTGGGTTTGGCTCTAAAATCTAAAGCCAAACATGCCGCGATATCGGCTCCTTTACTAAGACCTTTTGTGTTTGATAAGAAGCCTTTAATCGTTCAGTACGAGGTATTGCTTCAGGAAGGTCAAGAATGTGGAGGGGCTTACTTGAAATTGTTGAGTCAGGGGGATGAAAGCAAGAATTTAAACAATTTCCATGATAAAACTCCCTATAGCATTATGTTTGGGCCAGATAAATGTGGAAACGATCACAAGTTACACTTTATTTTCAGACACAAAAATCCGAAAAATGGATCTGTTGAGGAAAAACACTGTCAGAAACCCAAAGAAAGGTAATAAACAAAATTTTAAGTAATTTTTTATATTAAACAATTTAAACAACATTATATTATATTAAACAATATATTTAGGCTAGAAGAAACTTTCTCAGACAAGTTACCCCACTTATACACACTGATTTTGAACCCTGACAACACGTTCCAAGTAAATATTGATCGAAAATTAGTGAATTCAGGCAGTTTATTGGAAGATTTTTCGCCTCCCGTAAATCCACCAGCAGAAATTGATGACCCAGAGGACAAAAAGCCGGAAGATTGGGATGAGAGGGAAAAGATTCCAGATCCTAATGCTGTCAAGCCAGATGACTGGGATGAAGATGCTCCCGCTCAAATAGTAGATGAATCTGCGGTGATGCCTTCAGGGTAAGTGTTGTTGTTCTTTTGTTTCCAATACTTTCCAGAAATCCCAAAAAAACATTTTTTTTTTATTAAAATGTGATTAAACAAATACTTCAAACTTTCTGAGTTGCTTAAAGAGACTTTAAGAAGAACTGTTAAAATAAAACTTGACAAATAAGCTATTATTAGTGAATATATGAATAAGTTTGTAAAAATCTGAAAATTTTTGGGTCAAGGAATGTTTTTTTTTATCATAAAATATGACAAAATAATTCCAACAAGTTCCAAAATATAATAGCTGTTGATTCTACCTTTTAAAAGAACTTTGAATCATCAAAAAATATTAAATTTTAGCTATTAAACAATTTGCTCTATCAATCAATGATACACTTATGAAATCTCCGGAGTGTTAAGGCTCAGGGATCTTCAAGGGAGAATATCTTGAAATCTACTAATTCTACGTAAGAAATGTAGTAGGTAATTACCTAAGCTTCAGAATTTTTGTAGGTAATTACTTAAGCTTCATTTTTATTATTTCCTGCAACCTTCCATATTTTAATACTAAAAAACTCAAAATATCATCACCAGATGGCTAGAAAACGAGCCAACGCACTTGCCAGACCCTAAAGCCGAAAAACCAGGCGATTGGGATACTGAAATGGACGGAGAATGGGAACCGCCTCTCATAGAAAACCCCGTTTGCGCAGACGCACCTGGTTGCGGCGCTTGGGAACCCCCACTGATCAACAATCCCGCTTTCAAAGGCAAGTGGCGTTCACCGCTTATAGACAACCCTAATTACAAGGGCAAGTGGCGGCCAAGGAAGATACCCAACCCTGATTTCTTCGAGGACCAGCAACCCTTTAAAATGCAATCAGTGGTAAGTAAAGGTTTATAGTTTAAATTGACATATGATTGTTTTTTGATTGTTTTGAAGAAATATGAATAAAACAAAACTTTTAAAATCTAGTCTAATAAAATAATTAGACTTGTTTAGAAACAATATAGTGTTATAATTTAATATAATATTTAGAGTGCAGTTGGTTTTGAGCTGTGGTCAATGTCACAGGACATCCTTTTCGACAACATCATTGTTACTGAAGAAATAGCAGTGGCGGAACATTGGGCAGATGCAACTTTTGATAAGAAAAGACAAAAAATTGCTAGAGACTCGGTAAGTATTGTTATAAACTCTTTTAATTGGTTAAGAAGATACTTCGAATAACTATATATATATATATATATATATATATATATATATTGATATATATAAGATATATATATATATATATATATATATCATATATATATATATATATAAATTTATTTGGTATGATCTATATATATATATATATATATATATATATATATATATATATGTTTCCAAAATATATTTATTAAAAGAAATATATAAATCGGCAACGCTGTGTCCGTCAAGCTTAATCACGTGACTAAATTTATTTGGTATATATATATATATATATATATATATATATATATATATATATATATATATATATATATACTATTTATACATATATATATAGATAGATACTTTTACATATTTTCTTTTAATCAAAATATTTTTGGAAACAAAAATAAATTAATTATAAATATATAAACAGCATTTAAGGGACATAAAGGGCCATTTTCAACCGCTTTCCTGTTCAAAATATTCTAATAAGGTTGCGATGAGTTTTTTGCAACGGCTATTAGGCTATCTTGTACACTTCGCACTAAAAGAAGTTCTAAAAAGAACAGTGTTCGGTAAAAATTTTTAAGCTTAAAGTATCACAACACGATTTATTTAAACCTTTGAATAAGAAGACTAAGGAAGAAGCATATTAAAAATCTTAGGTCCACCGCGATGGGACTCAAATATGGCCGACTTAAATTCCGGTTTATCAGTGCCGTTCTAATTTTATTTAAAAAAATTTAAAACTATGATGTAGGGTAGACGTGGGGTAGACTCAATATTTTTTTATTTTACGTTGTGAATAAATGTTGGTAGTTATTAAAATTGTTATAAAAACATATTATTATAATATAAATAGATAAGTATTAATAATTATTTATTAACACAAACATCCGATACGCTACTGAAGCAGGTAAGTCAAATTGACGTATCTAAATTCTTTGACAAGTAGTAAATAAAAGCAAAAATGCAAGAAAAAATATGTAATTAGTTAATTAAAAGTGAATTTCATAAATGATCGGTTTACTACACGTATGTATATTATATAGTCACTTACTAGTGAAAAGTTGTTCCATTATTTCACTCGATTTTTGCCGAGATCTACCGCACGCTACACAACCAACTATTTTAGAGTTTTTTTCGATAAATCGCGATTGTTAATTTAAGTTCTGCCGACACTGTTAATTTAAGTTCTGCCACAATTTCCATCTAGATTTACTACCTTTATACAACTATCAGTAGTAGAATAAATGATAAATAACATAAAATAAGCTCCGTAATACTGACAAATCCACAAAATTTCAAATCAAATTCAAATGTGTCAAATGAATCATCAAACAGAACTGTCAAGGATCCCCACCCTAGAGTCCTTTTTCCGCTCACCATGCACGAATACATGGATAGCATTATGCTCCTTCCTTAGTCTTCTTATTTAAAGATTTAAACCAAAAACTCGTAAAACTAAAGTGTCAAAACGAATGACAATGTCAGGAAATAAATAAGTGACAACTTGACATACTTTTTACAGCAGAGCTACCACCTGAATCCCCAGCGGGAAATTTAAATTCCAGTTAGTGAGTCCGGCGCGGAATATGTCCATGGTTGGCAACAATGAATTTAACTAAAAGTTTAATTGGTATACCTTATACATATGGAGTTGTCTTTTAAAGGGGTACATATAAATCTTACCAAAAAAATACACGGTGTCCTTAAAAGATGTGTCTTATATTTAACTTATTTAATAAAACTATAAATTGTGTAGATCTATGCGTTTAATGCTGTTCATTTTAAACTTACTATTTTAGACAACCGTTTGGGGTCGACTAATGAAATCTATGAATTACAGTCCAAAAAGTTGGATAGCCTACTTTCTTTACTGTTCAATTCCTGTCATTTTCTACATTCGTTATCTTTATAAATGCGTCAAAGAGGTAACAAGTAACAATATCAACACCCCTGCACTGCTTTAAATAATTTTTAAATGCTATTAAAAATTATCCTGATTCTGTAGAATTTGTATTTTTTTGTGCAAACGTTGATTATTTTAAATAAATTAATACAAAGAAGATTGTAATATAAACAATTGTGTGTGCACTATGTGCGCATATTTGAAGTGAAACTTCTTACTTCTTACTTATCTTCTTTATTAATTTTATTCGCTTTCACAAAATTTGTATTAAAATGACCGTCTGTCCGTCTGATGACTCCATTCGGGTACCTGTATCCACGTGCCGAGTTTGGTTTCAATCGACCCATAATTAATAAAAATCCTGATGATTTCGTCCATTTAGAGGCATCGGTTCGAAACGTAGAGGGCGTCATCCTGTAGCCCGTCCCCAATTATGCCGAATTCGACCTACATTTTTCTTCAATATCAAATCCTTAGTCCCACCCTGATGAAGATGTAAACGAAACGTCGTATCCAACTTTGCAGCGTGGGACCGTGTGCACTGTCGCTCACATAGCCTACCCATCAAATTTGGTCGCGATCGGACGACATCAACTTTTGACGTTTCTTACGTCAAAACTAACTGTCACAGTGACACGTGTCGTACACGGTCAAGTTGGCCTTGATCCAATCTATCGACATACCAAATTTAATTTAAATCGGACGATTTTTTCTAAGCCATAGGCTGTACTTACCAGTTTTCCTCTGGGCTTTGGATTTTTACTACCAACAGAAGTTTCACTTCAAAAATAAACTTAAGATTACTACATCTGAAGACATAGATCATGTCTTCAGAGATGTCCAGGTTCTGCTCACTTCTTAATAATAATATTCCTAGAAACATTCTTTTTGAAAACTATTTTAAACTTTCAATGATTTGTGCTAATAAGAATGAAGCTAACATCACTTTACCATTACAGGATAGTGTAGTCCAAAAGCTAGCCAACCTAACCAACGAATATCCTATCCTGTGGGCTGTGTACATTATCGTTTTAGGTATCCCTGTAGTATTTATTTTGTACTTGTGCTGTAAGCCTTCCGCTAGTCAAACTCAGGTAATTTGCTTGGTTAATCCACGATTGAATTTATATTAAATGATATAATCGTTTCGAAAAATAAAAATAGGAACAGGCTGAACAGCAGCAAGCCGCTGAAAAGAAGAAGACTGACGAACCGACTGAAGACGACGAGGTAGCTGGTAAAAAAGAAGAGCTAGACAAGAAAATCGTGGAGGTCGACGATGAAAAAGAAGAGGAAGAGGAAGAAGACGAGGAAGACGCTGAGAAGAATTCCAATCCTGATTCGGATGAGGATAATGTTGGTGCTGATGTAAGTACTGTTTTGTCAGCGATTGTTCAGTGTTACGTCATCATTATTAGTCATATATCTTAGATCTTACAAAGTTCGTGGATTAAGCTATGCCATATGTATATTACACACGACTTTGTTTACGGGACTTTCACATGCATTTTTCTATTTATTTCTTTCTAGAACAAGATTATCGTATAAACCTGTCCTTCTCTCTGAATATGCTACTGAGCATGCGCAGAACGATATTAGACGTGAATGCTAACTTGGAGCGTTTTTTCGCTGCGTTTTTCAACAATTGCTAAAAATATAGACCAATTATTATGAAAATATTTGTCATATTATCTCAATACACTTTTTATATAAATTTTACACAAAAATTAAATCATATAAGGATAAATTCTTTTTTAAAAATGTTTTAAAATACTACTTTGAAAAATAGCTAAGATGAATGGGCAACAGATAGAACCAGTAACCAGGGAAACATTAAAATATGTTTTGACATTGAAAAGTCAAAACAATAAAACATTTTAATCATAGATAAATGCAACAAGTTTAGATTGGAAAGCCCGTAAAAATTTTAGGTCGCGAAATTATTTTGGGTCGCGACCGTTATACGCGATCTGGCGCTGTTATAGCGGTCGCTAAGAACAACAGCAAACAAAAACAGAAATAATTTTCTCTTGTCAAAGTCAGAATCTTCAAAAATCATAATAATCTTTCAAAATCTAAACCGCTCTCATTAAAGAAATTCCGAAAAGTGTTTATAGCGTCCATTTTCAAAGTGATATTGCTATCTTCTGAGTTTAATTCAAGTTTTATTTACTCCAACCGGTGATAATTGTGAAAAAGTGGCATTAAAAACTTAAAAAGCTGTGCTGTGAACTGTGAACTGCAAAACCCATCGTGGATCGTGGCATAACGTCGGTATCCAATGTTTCATAGGTATTTCACATACATGTCCTTATATAAAATAAAGTTTCTTGTATGAAACACATTGTATTTTATTTCTAAAATTAAACGAAAATAATAATAAATTTGAATAAACAATATTTGACGATATAATTCCGGAAAAAGCCGAACCGCTCCGAAATTTTCAAAAGTTTTGGGTCGCGACCGTTATAAGATAAGCGCCAAATAGTGTTTACATTGTCCTAATGGGCACTTTCCAATCTAAACTTGTTTCATTTATCTATGCATTTTAATATGCCACTTTTTGTGCTTTTTGTATACCGTTTGACCTGTGATAATAAGTAGTTGATTTGTGTGTGGATTTCCGACGATATTTTAGATTTGTGTTCTTTTTGAAAGTTTGTTAGCTAATATGTGAAGCTGTCCGCAATAGAAAAAATCTTATCCTTAAAAGAACTCCACAACTAGGGAATGCAATCCCGCAAATGCTGGATCCCGCAAATGCGGGATCCTTCTGAGATTCCGCGGGATCAAAGTTGCGGGATTTACCGTGCGGGATCCGCGGGATTAACCCATTACTACTGGGTAACCGAATCGATCTCGATCAGGGTCAAACCGTTTCGTTCCGGGCCGATGCGTCGACGGTCGGAACCCGGGGGATTCCCCTTACGGCTTGGCCATTAAAAATAAGTAAAACAAACAGGTTATTTGTTAGATTTCTTTCTGGCGTATGTGCGTAAGTGAAGAAAAGCTTTTAACTAGTACCTGTGGACAATTTCGTCAAATAAACTGCCGGACATATGTAATTATCGGGACAAGCAAAATTTTAGGGTAAATTTAAAGTTGAATAGGTATCTCTTGAACTAAAAAAGATTTTGGGATGCGGTTTGGACCAGGCCTTAGATGCATCTATTGTGATTAAGATGCTATATGGTTTTCGAAAGTATATTTAACGAATTCTTGTATACAGGGTCTTTTATAAGAGTGTGAAAATTTGGTCAAGAATGTTTTTTACTGCAAATTTACAATTTTTAAAAAATCGAAATTTTTACCAGGTACGACTAATCTGTATTGAAATTAGAAAAAAAAATTTGATAGGTTTTTTAATTTTTTGTTTTAAGGAAAATACGTTTTTTTTAAATATGCATTAGGCATATGTATGGTCCTAAATGGTACAAACAGCTTTGTACATTCTGCATATGCCAAAAAATGATTGATATAGAGTGTATCTAAAAGCAGATAACCAACACAAGTTAAAAAAAAACTTCAACATCAGAATAATATTTTTATTTATAAAATAAGTAGATAAATTATAATAAAATTTAAGTTTATTTAATATTAAATATATTTTTTGAACACCCTGTATACATCGGTCCAAATTTCTGTACAGCTACCGCATGATCGAAAAAAAACGGCGTCAGCCATGGCTATGAAATGAACATCGCTGTCATTTTATATGTAAAATTATATGGGGAATGTCATCGATCGTCATTTCCAAGCCAACTGGACGCCGATTTTTTTTCGATCATACAGTAGTTCAAGATACACGCTATATCAATATATTGTGGGCCTATGCAAAATGTACAATGCCTTTTGTACCATTTAGGACCAAATGTATGAATATTGTTTACAGTCCCGCAATTTTGCGGATTGACTGCTTTAATCCCGCGGGTTTGAGGGATTGAGATTTTGGTGCGGGATTGCATTCCCTATCCACAACACTAAAAGTATGAAAACCTCTGAAGTAAAGGAAAATTAAAACAACTTTCGTTGCACGTCATCAATGACACCATGCGTCGTCTTATATAGTTTGCTGGTGGTCGTATTATGATGTGCAACCAAAGTTATTTTAATTTCCCCAACAAGGTAACTGTTAGGTATTTAAAATCGTTTTTTAAACCGACTTTTATTCAGTGAAATATATTTTCTATTTTGACATAAAACTGACATATGCCCAAAAGAAAGACGGACGATTAGTCAATCAGTATCAAAGACAAAGATAATCAGATAATCGAATGTCGCTGACGTGTCTCCAACAAAAATGAAGCGAATTTACTTATCCACGAAGTTTATAAGTTCTAAGAAGTGACATCAGAAGCGGGATTACTCTGTATTTCAAATGTTAGATTTCCATCGATTTTAACATGATCTATAAATTGTTATAGGAGCAGGTAGCTGCATCTGGCGAGGGTACAAGGAAACGAAAAGTGAGAAAGGATTGAATTTGGTATTGTTTGTTAAACATTTTTACCGCTTAGAATCCTACCGACTTTGATAGCTTTAGTTTAGGTATTTAATATTTAATTTTTCTAAGGTCGTATGTACGAAGGACAGAATTAAAATCAAGCTACGCCAGAAATTCTGAACGCCGGCAAAACGGTTTGTTTTGACCGGCGGGCGGGTAAAATTGGTATTGCGGGAATTTTGGTATTGGCTATTTTTATAACTTCGATTCTTCCTATGTACGATTTACGTGTAGGAGAAATTTTTGTATTTTCCGAAAAATAATCATTATAATTATTGTAATTGCCCCGTTATTGTACAATTTTTAAAATAAATTCGTACTACTGGAAATCAAATAATGTATTACACTAAAAGTTTTGTTTATTGTAAATATATAAGGAATCGTTTTTTTAATGTGTGCGTTTTCACTTGAGTTGTATTGTTTTTGTTAATAATTAAATAAACACTGGTAATAAATTATATCATTTTGGTTTTTTTTTCAATATTTCAAACTTAGACGCCCACTATAGTAATACTTGGTAATACAGTAAGTACACAGTGAGTCACATTTTTTTTGTGACAAAAATACAATCACTAAAGAATACAAAACGCCCATATACGGGCTGCAGCAGAATTTGTGATATTAAACGCCATTTTTTTGGGTGTAACGAATGAGTTATCAGCACCAATTTTAGCGATTTTTAATAGTTTGTATGTAATGAACTTTGTATAAACTTTATTACAATGGTGATTAGTTGTTCAACTTTTAAGTGTAAAAGCCGCAGCAAAAGTAAATAAACAGTCCACTTCACCTTTTTAGCGTTTTCTTATTGAATTCGATAATTATTTTTCTGATATTATATATGTACTTGATATGTGCTATACGTCGATACCAGTTTTGTACCTTTTGTTAACATTTTAGTACGTTTTTTCGTAATAAATTAGTATGATACCAACGCTTACACCATAGGCGTAGTCAAAACATTTATAAAAATATAAATATCTCTTCAACTCACAGCTAAGTTAAGAAAAATATGTGCCACGGCACTGTTTGGAGATATGGTAACAATTTGGTCTTGGGTGTTATTAGTCATTGCAAAAATAGATATTTAGCTTTAATAGTCTATTAAAGCTAAATATCTATTTTTGCAATAGATTACCGAAATATGGCGCCACATCAGTGAGCGAGGCTTAGTTGAATACCTTTCCAAAAAAAACATTATTAAAAAAATAAATGTTAAATATAAAAAATATACTGTATTTCATAGACCATTAAAATTACAAAACATCTAAAGCTGTAACTTTATGTGCTATACCACAAATATTTTTCCCAACAGCTATGTACAAATAACCCCCATCTGCGAAATCATTACCCCAAGAATTTCGAACAATATAATAAGGAATATCACCATTTAAATCGTATCCAACAATTTGGACACTGTGATTTAAATCTTCAAAATTATCGTTACAATGAAACTTAATAATTCCACCTACATAGTGTTGCCAAGTTAGTGCATTTACTGCTACAGCCAATGGCCCTTTGTAGGCAAGATGGGCCAACATCTTATCTTCATTATTAACAAGACTACAAAAAAATGTAGAGTTAAATAAAAATGTTTTTAATGTTTAAATACAAATCTGAATCTTTTAGGTGTTTACCTTGAACAGGAATATGTTGTTACTTGTATGCCACCAGAAGTTTTTGTATTTAAACAAGTTTGATTGGCACCAGTGTAAGGATATTTCGACTCTGCTATAACTGAAATATTGTTGTACACCAACCAGTGACTTAAATAACATATATCACCTCCTAAGCAGCCGAAATTTTCAGTTGAACAGTCTACTGATTGCTGTACACTGAGATCAAATAATTTCTGATATTTTAAAGCCATCATGGATTCAACCGTTTGGATTATAGAGAACGCCCAACACGCACCGCAATTTTTTTGATTCTTCACTTTTGTAACAATACCTTTTTCTCTCCAATCGATTTTTCGTGGAATTCTTTTCCAGTACGATCTTTTTTTAAACGATCTCGGTGACTTGGATTTGTGGTTCTTATTTGTTGAATATATCAACTCTTTTGGAAGTAAATCTGAGAACTTTGTAAGACCGTACACTGCTGTAGAATTAAATTGATTCTTGTTTAATACATCTATTGCTTCCAAAGACATCTAAAATTTAAAATTATATTCAAATTAATATAAATAAAAACGTTAAAATGTACCTTAAAAGCTTTCATTCGTAATTTAAAAGTCTCTTCATCGATATAGGATTTGTTAAATTCGCGAATATATTTTAAAAATAATTCCAAATCATTATCATTTTCAATTTTAATTGGCACCATGAAGAACAATAGAAGAAAATAGACCCCATATTCAAGCACTTGCCAATATGACACCATATTAATAATATAATGTAAGAAATCATTTTAAAAACAAGTTGAATTAGATAAATTATTGGTAAACATAATTTTTCTTCAGATAAGTAGATACAGGGTGGTCCAGTTTTCTGAAAGCCCCTTAAAATGGGTTCCCTATATTTTTTTCTAGTTTTCGCATTTAAAAAAATATTTTTGTAGATATACAGGTCGGTTGAAGAATATTGTTGCATTCAATATGTAATTTTTAAACAGGAGATTGTATATTTTTGCTCAGTGTCTACAATAAAATTACCATTCCAAAAATACTATAAAATATACCGAGTGACATTTTTAATGTAATCATTTTTGGACTATTAATTCATAAAATTGTAAATTATTGATGTCTTAATTATAATCGGGAGCACCCTGTTTATATCTTGTTTAGATTCACCCTGTATATACCAGACAATTTAGCCCATATAGACTTATTTGGTATAATTAGTTTTAAAAAAGCTCTATCAAAAAACAAGTGCGATTTTACAATTTAAAAAAAGCTCCTAAGCCTAAGTGTGTAGAAAATGTAATACAAAAATGGTAGTATCAGTATACATTATAACATTAACAATATTAACATTTGTAATATGTTTGGTTTTTATGAAGTTTTTGTCCATTTTTTAAGGCAAATGAACTGTGTGTAAAAAAATATACAATGTTTAAATCACCCTGTGGACCTACAAAATTATATATTTTTCGTAATTTTTTATACTGGGTCACCCTGTAAAAACAGAAATTTCTTCTTTTTTTAATTTATAGCCATGTGTTATCTGTGTTATAGCCCAAAGCAAAGAGTAGATAAGACAAGAGACGACAGTTCGCGCGGTACCTTTCATGTTTGAGTGGTGGGGAGAGTGACCTCGTCTCGCTTGTCCCTTTAAATTTTCGTAATTTTTTTGCGGGAAATTTAAAATAGACTATTATTAAAACTTGCCTGTATAGCTTATAAATAGTTACTGTATGGGTAAAGAAATAAATAGAAACGAAAAAAAATGAGTTTTCTAAATATTATATAAAATAAATTATAATTAGAAACATATTTGTCGGGGGAATAAAGATAATAAAAGCAATATTTTGTATATCGTTTGTAAACAAGATAAAAAGTGACCAAGTCGATTTGTAAGAAATGTTTTATTTACGTGTATTTTTTTTACATATGGACTTGAACAAGTGTAAAATCACAATGTGGAGTTTATGTACAAAAAAATAGAGTTACTCAATTTTTTTTGTAAAAATATATTACAAGCTTCTAACCATGTCTTCGATCTTAGTTTAATAACTTCTTTAAGTCTTCTTTCTTAGTTTAATAATATAATTATACATATAGTATATTTATATAAAAATACTTTTCAGGATCCTTTGGAAAAGAGTGAAATATTATGTTTGTCGAAGAATAAGACCTATTTTTGCAGTCTTTATAAGCACACACATTGCCACCATCTCGTCTTTTCCTGCTACTCGTGTCCTGTTCAGTATTCATATTTAACAATATTTACAAATTAGTACGCAACAAAAACGATACTAAAATTAAACCTTAAAAACTCTCAAAACGATAAGATATCGAAAAACTCTGAAAACACACTTTAAAAAGGCAAAAATGCAAGAAAACAACTAATCAGATTTGTTTATATTTAAGCCTGATTAGCACAGCTGATTAGCGTCCTAAAATCATAGGTTAGATCATAAAATAATAAATACAAGAAGAAGTGTCAAGTCAATGTTAAATTATGGAAACAGCGTGGCTGCCTGGGTAACTAATTTTCAGATATGGCGGCTGGGACATTTGACATGACTATATAGACATGACAATTTCAATTTTATGAAATTTATTTCCGTTTCCGGTTTTTAATGGCGGGCTGTTCAGGAGGTTTAAATGAGGGTTAATATACTTTTTACTCTTTCTAGTAGTAAATAATACAACAAAATTACTCAAAAATATTTATTTGGAATTTAGAACAATGTAAATATGCAAATCAACACAATTAAAGAGCTATAAACCAATAAACTACTGTATCAATATTAAATATTTAAATAATATCAGAGATGCTGTGTTAAAGCGAATTAGTAAAGTAACAGTGCATTGACTTACAGAAACTTGAAGATAAATAAATGTTTTCACAGCTTCACGGATAAATAACTGGAAGCAGGAAAAAGGCAACCGGAACCCACACAAAACCTGGAATCAAAAAAAATATGTAAAAAATATAAATATAGGTACCTACATAAGACTTTTGTGAATTAAATCAAACAGGACTTGAATGAAAATAAAATGAATAAAAAATATGATACATATACATCTAATACCTCATTTGTATTTTAAAAATAATCTACATACATAGATTTATAGCATTATTGCTATGAAAATACATAATAGGTACCTATGTGATATGTAATTACGCATTTCTGTTCATCTTGTAGAAATTTAACGTAGGCTAATAATAGTTCAATAATCATAATTTACCTTGTATAACTTGCTTTCAATTGCTCAAAATCACCGATCAGTCTTTAAAGTAGAGATACGGAAAAATCCTTGAAAGAATATCCCAAGATCCTTGGGTTTAAAGCTAAAAAAATATAAAAACAGTTAATATATTACCTATTTTTACCTATAATATGGCCCATACCTGCTACACGCCGAAACGTCGATTTCATCATTTTCTTCATGTAATTAATATCATATATACTTTATTAAAGTGTTAACAAGGAACTTTATATCAAAAAACATCTTTGTACTTATAAATTTCAGCCGAAATATCAGAAACAAACTTCCAATCAAATCTAAACGGCAAAAATTAAAATGGCGCCCGACCTTGCCAGAGGCCTCGGGAGCTGACGCTGACACACAGAAAAAGACAAAAGAACAGGACGCCGACGTGCATAAAAATGTTCCGTAGCAGAAATTGACAGAAATCATATAGAAATATTCAGATTTTTGTCTAGGACAGTCTAGAAGGCCATGCTTTCTGCCTGGGTAGAACCGCGCCACAACTGTTTCCAATTTTCCGGTTTACTGGGTTAGATTTTAGATTAGATAAAATACGCCGTTGTCAGATTTTGAGATTTTATCTGTTTATCTTTGAAATCGATCAACTTATTAGTCATTCTGTTTCTTTGATATTATCAGTACATTGCGAAAAAAGAACCTAAACCAACCTAAACTAAAAATTTACATTTCCGTATTAATATACGTTACTTATATCCTTCTTATATTATTAATTTATTTTCAGAAAATCTTGTTTATTTTTCAAAGAAATATACTTGGCAACAGACAAAATGGGACTTGATGGGACCTTTAAATTTTAATATATCTGCGTCTCTCTCGCGAAATTCGACTTCTTTGTTCACTGTCGTCTCTTGTCTTATCTACTCTTTGGCCCAAAGCATCTAGGTCTATAAGCCCATATCACCGAAGTTAAGCGACGTAAGGCGTAAGGCGATACTAATGGATGGAAAGGTGACCGTTTGGACCCTCTATAGTGCTGTTGTTCCATGGCATGAGTGTAAAAGTAGTAGATAGGTCTTGATATATTGATATATACCTTGATATAGCCGAAGATCACGGTTCACATTCCGCTTAAAGCTTTGGCTTAAAGAAAGTAAGCATCGTCCAGATTTCCCTAGCAGCAAAATGGTAACGTTAACTCAGAGATATCGTTTACTTAAAACAAAGATAGTATTAAAAGAAGAAGATTCATATATAAATTTAAAGTTTCTAATTTTAAATTTATATATGATCACAGTATTTAAAGTACTCCAAAGATTAAACGTCCAATATTGTTGTTATGACTTATGACCACTGTTTTCCGAAAGAAGAATTTGATTTTCTTGTCATTTGGTATAATTTTTGTTTACTTATTGGTTGTCAAAATAATGGATCAGTAAAAACTGTTTTATTGAATTATAAATTTCTTACAAGAATATATTAAATTTTAATAATATATTACTAAATTAGATACATAACTGTTGTCAGTATCATCAATGAATCCTTAAAAAGTTAAAATGTCTAATGTAAAGGCTCAAACCGTAAGAAAAAAAACTCAGGTATTAATTTTACGTTTTTGTTTGCACTAAACAAACTATAAACATTAATATTGTGAAGGTTTCGATGGTAATATGCGACCCGTTAGAAAGAAAACACCGCTCCGGAGTGAACTCTCTCCAACTCGATCCGCACTTGGATCGATTATACTCTGCAGGTCGTGATTCCATCGTACGAGTGCATGAACGAGAAATGTTTTTGCACGGAATGGAACACCACACCGACTGGGTTAACGACATAGTGCTGTGTTGCGGAGGACGACATAGTAATATCATTTTTCTAATTTCTATGTGTGTCGTTTAATATATCAATTTTTTTTTAGTAATATCTGCAAGTTCTGACACGACCGTTAAAGTATGGAATGCTTACAAAGGTTTCTGTATGTCCACGTTAAGAACTCACAAAGACTATGTCAAGGCATTGGCCTATGCCAAAGATAAGGAACAGGTCGCTTCGGCTGGTTTTGACAAGTCGATATATCTGTGGGACATTAACACTCTTACGGCTCTGACTGCTATGAATAATACGGTGACAAGTAAGTATAAGCAAACAGAATAAATAGAAATAGAAAAGAATAAAAGCTAATAATGTTGATAATATGTCATTTTTTTTATCTTATAGCTTCTAGTTTAGTTGGCAGCAAAGAGTCTCTATACAGTTTAGCCATGAATCCTTCTGGAACTCTTGTTATAGGTGGATCTACCGAGAAAGCTTTAAGATTGTGGGACCCGAGAACTTGCGTAAAGTTGTTTAAACTTAAGGGTGGGAAAATTTATTTTTTCTCGTAATATTTTATTTAAATTTCGCACTTGTAGGCCACACAGGGACCGTGAAAGCCTTGGTCGTGAATAGGGATGGAACCCAGTGCATTTCAGGTAGTAGTGATGGGTCGATTAAAGTGTGGAATATTGGACAACAAAGGTATTTTTTTTGTACAGAAAATGGAGTCCGTGGTTTTACGCGGTTTCATTAATACGCGTTTGCATTTTTGACACATTTTGTTAAAAAAACACGGCGTCCAGTTGGCTTGGGAAGAGCCACCGCCGACGTCGTTTTTTTTTTCGATCATATGGTGTATTACTTGCTTAAAGTTTAAAAACCGCTATTTTTTTTTTCTTTATTTAATCTAATACTCATTAAAATATTAAATAATATCCATATTGTCATATTATCAAGAGATTATGTTTTCTTAACTGAATATTTAGAATTAATTTTTTTTTATTAAACGCTTATGCATAAAATGTAAAGCACTTTTACGCCTAAGCATAGAAGTACGAAAATATATTATTAAACTGGCATAAGTGTCAAATTCAACAAGCGTAACTATCGTATCTCCACATATAATTACCAAAAAAAAGGAAAAAGAAAGGGAAGTGTCTTACTAAAAAATGGTTCTATGTTAGTGGCGCCATCTATTGTGAGGGTTGGAATTTAAATGCGCTCATTTATATAATTTCACTTGAAACTATAGTTTGAAGCCCCGTTCTCAGAACATCGGTATTGTCGAGCGACACGTCAAAAGAATCAATGAGATTTGCACAAAATTCAAAACTGGCAGCTGTTTGAATTTTGTGCAAATCTCATTGGTTCTTTTGACATGTCGCTCTACAATACCGATGTTCTGAGAACGGGTCTTGAAACTATCATTTTAAATATGAAAACCATCTTAAAAGTGATTGTTTACACAATATTAACAAACCTAATGCAAAGCTTTACTATGTGTTGTGTAAAAAATAAAATATAATAGTAAAATTCATATATACAAAAAATAAAGCTTGATTTTCATGCATCCGTTGTCCGACGATACGTTGATACGATATTAATTTCATTGGTTCTATTTAAAGGCTTCGAATGGTTTACCGTTTCTAACCAACCGAAGTCTTTAAATTCAACCAATAAAATTAAAATCGTATCGTCGTATCGTCGGACAACGGATGCATGAAAATCAAGCTTAAGTCAGCTATATAAACATGGTTTATTATAAATTATAATAAAATAAGACCAACGTAATATGCCCAAAGTTTTGTAAATTGAGTAAATATAAATAGGTAGAGTTGGGATTTTGACCGTCAAAATCTTTTGTGGTCAATTGACCCGTCAATTGACTGGTCAATTGACCAAGCACCAGTCAAATTCTTTCGTGATACTAAAAAAATAAAAGTAGAAGAAATTACATTTATACGTATATTAGTGATTAAAAAACAGTAAACAAAAACTAAAGAATACAACAAAACGAAACATTACATTAAATGATACAAAAAAGACAGTAACCAAACAAGACTAATAATTTTTAAACAAATATAAAGCCATTCTGAGGTAACAAAAAAATGCATAATAGCAATAAAAAATACTAATGACTGGTGGTAGCACAGGCTTGTCTAAACAATGGAATCTCATCTTCATCACAGTCATCATTGAACTCAACTTATGTTCTTCAGAATCAGAATCATCCATAGCCATTTCATCCTCACTATTAAAATTTAGAGCTATTTCCTCCAAGTTTCTCCTATTTTTATTTTCACTATTACTCAAAAGTTTCATGTTGTATTTTATATAAACAATATAACATTTACTATGTAAATCTTATAGATCATATTATGCAAGGTAAAAAATACATACCTTACAGATCCTTACAGATATGCTCAACAACGCACTTGAAAAACGCACCCTGTAAAATACAGCCTCACACAATCACATTAAAACAGCAACTAACGATTCTTTCGCGTCGCGAGTGCTTTAGGCAAGTCAGTACCTCTTATTCGGTTTACGCCAATTAAAAGATTTTGACCTGACCTGGTCAAAATCTTTCCGATCAAAATCTGTCAAAATCTCGGTCAATTGACCGCGGTCAATTGACCAAGCACAACTCTATAAATAGGTACTTAAATGATGAAAAAAAAACAAAACAATAATTGCTGTGGTTCTTCAATCCGTTTGTGTTCCTAAAATATAATGTAATTATTACATTATATTTTAGGACCACAAACAAAAAGAATTGCCTAATTAAAACACATATAATAAAAATGACTGTTTGTGTCTCGCCTGTATGTCGGACGTACAGCCTCGCCACAAAAAGTATCATTTTTACACCTAATAAAACAATATACTATTTTTTTCACGAAAAAAAACCTCAGACTTGTTTCTGGTATCGAAATATACCGTTCTTAAAAATATTTGCATTAATTTAAAACTCATTCTGTATAGTTTACGTGATACAAAGTGAGTTTCGATTTACGCCGTGTTTTTCCAGGCTTAACAACCTAATCCTGGCTTTAAACGAGATTTGCGAACTAGTATTGCCTCCTGTATTTATTATTTTATTTTTTTAGGTGTATTCAAACTATTTTGGTACACTCGGACTCAGTTTGGGCCTTGCTCGTTACAGATAATTTTACACATGTTATATCCGGAGGTAGAGACAAAAAAGTAATTTTATTTTCAACTGTACCCAATAAAAATTTCACTATTTAAGGTAGCTATATCTAATTTTAGGTGATAATGACTGAATTGAAAAACGTTCAAAATTACATTTTGATTTGTACAGAAGAAGCACCGATTTTAAAAATGTGTTTTACTGCTGACCAGCAAGCAATATGGGTATAACAGTTGTATGTATTATTAGACATTCTTACAAGTTTTTCTTGTAGGTTTCAACATCGAATTCTACTATTCGTTGTTGGAAACTTCCCACAGAGAAAAACTTCAAAGACGATTTGCCCATGCCAACTCAACCAATTAGTTCAATACCGGGCGATGCTGCAATAGTAAAAGCGACTGTTTTGAATGATAAAAGACATGTTATAACCAAAGATACCAACGAAAATGTTGGCATATATGACGTTTTGCGGGTAAGTGCGATTTGAATGTTAAAAAACCTACTAAAAAAATATCGATAATTAAAATATAAAGTATCGATATTTAGAAATACGTAAATAAGGAAAAATAAGTAAATTATGTTATACAATCAAAATGTATCTATTAGCAGAATAATAAACGTCTCTTTAAACGCCATCGGTGAGAAGAGCCTAGCTTTTTAAGCTACTCAAAAATAGGGATGGTGAAATATATCGATATTTTTTGAGTATCGATATTTCGAAAATTAATCGATATGCCACAAAAACAATTATCCATAAATACGATAGTTATATTGTTATAATTAAAAAAGCAATCTTATTGATATTTTGATTTCGACACTTTTTGGATTTTAGGGATGTGTAAAAATATTCGTTAATTTTTTAGAGACGGGTATCGGTATTTTATATATCGATTATAAAAGAAATTTGTAAAATTACCGATATTTTGTTATATGCACGTTTTATGCATTTTAGGAATGTGTCAGCTTTATCGATTTTTTGATATATTAATAAAAATTTTATTTTTCCTTAAAACGAATATTATACAGAAGAAATATTCTATATCTTTTTTTAATAATAGTCAAAATTTACAAAATATCATGCCACAAAAATAAGTATTCTTATATTAGATTTATTATTAAATTTAAAAGCATCTGATTGAAGAATATATCGTTCATAAATGAATTTTTTAATATCAATATTTTGATATGTATGTCGTATATGTAAACACATCGATAATTTTAGGAATGTATAAAATGTGTCGATATCTACCGGGGCGTCTCAGAAGTGGGTCACCCCTATAACTTTTTTATTTTTTTACATAAAATAACGACTCTTGGTACGTTAGTATGTGACATAAATCAGGATTGATTGACGTATTCAATTGTTTTTTTGTCACTTCCTGTTTCACCGGAAATGACTACAGCTTTTGATTTTTAAATGGCACCCACGGTATTTTTTTACTTTATTCGATAGAAAATGACATTCTGAATAGAATGAAATATCATATGTCGACTTTTGGCATTCTCGCTTAATAAAAAATTGTATTTTAAATTTTAATCTAGAGTGCCATAAATATGTCAAAAACACTAATTCTTAATCAAGGAGCCTTGGAAAACTATATTTGATTATCTAATGTTTTTAGTGTCTTGTCCTGGCCAGTTAGAAAATGCTCAAATCGTATTTTCAATCATATCTCAATTTTTTCAAATGGAACGAGGGTGGCTCATTATCATATTTGGAAAAAGCATTTTTTACGAATAATTTGATACCACACACTCGGTATTTTGAATCAAATTTTTGTTACGAACCGCCAGTTATAATTTCAAATAAACCATATGCGAAAATGTCATAAGTTGACATATGATATATCTTTCTATTCAGAGTATTATTTTCTATCGAATAAACTAAAAAGATGATACGGAGGGTGCTATTTAAAAATCAAAAATTGTAGCCCTTTTCGGTGAAACAGAAAGTGACCAAAAACAATTGAATACGTCAATCAGTCCTAATTTATGTCATATACTAACATACCAAATCTTGTTTTTTTAACTAAAAAATAAAAAAGTTATAGAGGTGAGCCACTTTTGAGACGCAGCCCGTATATTGATATAGCGATAATTATAAGATTGGGATAATGTATCGACACATTATTAATTTTCGGGACGTAAAAATTTATCGATATATTTTATTCGTCCTTAAAACGTATCTGGATATTTTACAGGCACAAAAAGTCGAAGATTTAGGTCCAGTGAACTACCAAAATGAGATCAAATCAAGAAACAGCGAGAGATTAATCTACGTACCGAATTGGTTCAATATGGACCTAAAAACTGGGGTAAAAATTCGAAAAAATATACCTTTCGGACGTTAGCTATAGTCTTTTTCTGGTAGATGCTCACCATTCACCTTGGCCAAGACGAAGTAGACTGTTTTTCCGCTTGGGTATCGGCCAAAGATGCGGGCATTTTGGGACACCCCGAACCCGATCACAAAGTTAACTACGGCAAGCTACTGTTGCAATCGTTGTTCGAGCATTGGCGTAGAGTCCCGCCCGACCAGGAGCAGATCTACTTCAGCGTTCCTAATCACATTCCTTTAATTTTAAGGTTAGAATTTTATACCACTTTTCAAAAATAAAATAGGATATGTCAATTTGGCTTTAGAGCTCAAATGCACTGACGCCACTGACATAGGTGCGTCCAGATGCACGACCAGTTTCAGCAGGGCTGTCAGATCTAACGATTTTTTACGTTTTACCAATTAGAAAATATTGTTTTCAGAAATGTTAAAATATCCGAGTTAGATTAGGTTAGGTTAGGTTGCAGAAAAAAAAATGTTTTGAATTTTTACTAGAATCGACCCCTGATAAAAAAAGACTAGATTTTAAGTTTCCCTTTGATCTAGTCTGTATACTAATTCTTTGGTTTTTCTGCACGTGTGCAAAAACTACACTAAAACACTATATCATAGAAAAATTTGCGTTGAATTTGGGGGATTTTATCTGAAAAATTATTAGTTTGAAAGAAAATAATATTTTAGTGCATTCTACTGGTCGCAGCAACCAGCCGACAGCCAGGTCGTTAGTGCATGTTGTATCATTTGACTTAATGGTATTACAGGTAGCAGCGACCTGGTCGTCAGTGCGTTTAAGCACTTAATGTTTCAGTAGCGTATCTTGTATTTTCATTATTAAATAGCTTTTAAAGTGAAACTTCTTTACGCGCGATGGGAGATTCAAGGCCGTAACACGCCGCGGCCTTGACACTTCACGGCTTTGACAGACGAGCTAGAAGCTAGACTGAAAAAAAAGTGGTAGGACCGCACGATCGCGTAAACACCAAAAAAGATTTGATTTAAAGTTAAGAAAATCATTATAACAAACTTGATACTGTACCTGAGAACAAACGAACACCAACAAATTATTGAGTCTACCCTACATTATTTTTACATTACCAAACCAAACCAAACCACCTAACTCTACATTATATTTTTACAATTATTTAAAAAAAATTAGGACGGCACTGACGAACTGGAATTTAAGTTGCCTATATTGATCTCCCATCATTCTCTATCTAAGTTTTTTCATATGCCCCTTCCTTATTCTTTTTATTCAAAGTATAGAGGTTATAATTTCTAATGTTATTATATTTAATTTTCATATTTCGTTTATGTTTATTTTTAGCGAAGTCGGGGGTAGAACAATATACAGGGTGTTGGTGGGTGATGCTGCCGGCCAAAACGAAAACGACATGTTGAACGATGCCGTTCCCAATTGGGTGGTGTCCAACATCGAGGACAATTGCACCAGCAAGTTTACAAAGATACAGTTTTATTTGAAACCGCACGCCACTGTGCCGGCTAATCTTCTTAAACAGGATCGCTTGAAAAAGGTACTATAATATAGGGTGTTTGAAATTCAAACGCTGTACCGTTGTTTCCTTACAGTCGGACAGATTAGTGGCCAACGATTTCATCCAATGCCGAAAAGTAGCGGAGCATGTCTTGGATAAGTTGCTTGGAGAAGGTACGGCAACGTCGCCTAGCGGTGAGGGGGATTCACAAACTCAACCTGCCAGCGGTTATACGGTTGATCAGATTCAGCTTTCATGCTCTGATCAGGTAAGTGTTATAGAATTTATTCAGTTTTTTTGATTATATTTTTTTATCTTGTTTTACCAGATTTTTTATACTAATGTTGTTGTTTTTTTAAATAGGATGCTGTGTATTTTATTTATTTAATGAATTTATATGAAAATTCTTTTTAAGGAAGGAGCATAATGCTATCCATGTATTCATGCATGGTGGGCGGAAAAAGGACTCTAGGGTGGGGATCCTTGACAGTTCTGTTTGACGATTCATTTGACACATTTGAATTTGATTTGAAATTTTGTGGATTTGTCAGTCTTTACGGAGCTTATTGTATGTTATTTATTATTTATTCTACCACTGATAGTTGTATAAAGGTAGTAAATCTAGATGGAAATTGTGGCAGAACTTAAACTAACAGTGACACTCGCGATTTATCGAAAAAGGCTCTAAAATAGTTGGTTGTGTAGCGTGCGGTAGATCTCGGCAAAAATCGAGTGAAATAATGGAACAACTTTTCACTAGTAAGTGACTATATAATATGCACTTAAATTAACTAATTATATATTTTTTCTTGCATTTTTGCTTTTTATTTACTACTTGTCAAAGAATTTAGATACTTCAATTTGACTTACCTGCTTCAGTAGCGTATCGGATGTTTGTGTTAATAAATAATTATTAAAACTTACATATTTTTATTATAATAATATGTTTTTATAACAATTTTAATAACTACCAACATTTATTCACAACGTAAAATAAAAAAAAATTGAGGCTACCCCACGTTTACCCTACATCATAGTTTTACATTTTTTAAATAACATTAGAACGGCACTGATAAACCGGAATTTAAGTCGGCCATATTTGAGTCCCATCGCGGTGGACCTAAGATTTTTGATATGCTCCTTCCTTACTCTTCTTATTCAAAGGTTTTTTTGATTATATTTTTTTATCTTGTTTTACCAGGTTTTTTATACTAATGTTGTTTTTTTAAATAGGATGCTGTGTATTTTATTTATTTAATGAATTTATATGAAAATTCTTTTTCGCCAAATACCACAATCTATACCGGGTGGTTTTATGTATGGAGGGCTTTAAAAAGGAGATTTATCGACAATGGGCATATTTGAAATTTCTGTTCCTACTTTAAAGCAAGTTTCTCGGTTTGACACCAGAGGCACTGTAAGCGTGTGAGATTGATCATTTTCATTGTTAGTATACGATTTAACTTTGTTTTTACTAGTTTTTTTTTTAAAATTTAGAGTTAATTTATTGAATTATTAGCAATGTACCAATGAGTATTATTAAAAAAATCCTAAACGATAGATCTTGCTTCGTTCTTGGCTGTATAAGTGGAACTTACAGTGGAAAAAAGACAAATAAGGAACGGGGTGAAAGAAACCCAAGCTTTTCAGAGGTTCTAATGTAAGTGGTATACCTAATTAATTAAAAAAATATGGATAGATGTTAAGAAAAACATTCAAATTATATACTGTCAGTGCACAGATTAATTTTAACTTAACTCTTTTGAAATAAATTGAGTTCATTATTTATTCATTAATATTTTATTTACGAAAATTTACCTTTACAATTATTAGATGACATTGAATATAATACATCTTGAATTTAATTGTCTACGAAACAGTGACAATTTGCAAAACTTTGCTAATGACATTAAACTTAAATTCAGAAAATCTAAAGAAAAAACACTACTTGGACACAGGAAACATTTCAGCTTAATGTATATATTGTCTGGTTTCAGCTATAAAAAGTTATGGGATAGATAACACTGGTCAAAGGGTGCAACAGTAGTGATTATCTTCACTTTCCATTGAACTTATTCCTGATAAAATACTTTTAATTTTCGTGATTTAGTTTCTGTCAATTGCCGTAAAACCACTACTAGTTTATCCAAAAAAATCCTTATGGGTTTTTCGCCACTGCACTGCAAGAAAAATCTACAAAATAAAATAGTTATATTTTTTTGCTTCCGACGACGGAAAGAGAAAACTTTCCGAAACGTTAAGCATTTTTTTCTTTGTTAGGCAAATTTTTATTACTGTAAACACAACTTCTGACAAGCAGCGTCCGTTTAGGTTTAACGCAGAAGTGTTTACAAAAAATAACTATTTTATTTTGTAGATTTTTCTTGCAGTGCAGTGGCGAAAAACCCATAAGGATTTTTTTGGATAGATGAATCCGCCACATAGGTATAGACATTTTTCACTACTAGTTTGTTACGAAAGTTTTTAATGTTTTTAAAGTGGTATCACACTGAACTGCATGTAAACATATCAATTTTAAATGTTTTTATGAAAAACTATTAATAAATCACTAACACAAACACACCATAAACTATTTAATTCGCATTTGTCATCAAGAAACAACTCTGGAAACAATTACTGTTTACATCAAATCAAAGGTTGAACTGGTGATATTTGTTGCTGGAACTTCTATCTTTTTTGTACAACAGTTCTCGGGAAGATTTATTTTAGCAGCTTATACCATATGATCGAAAAAAAAAACGGCGTCAGCCATGGCTATGAAATGAACATCGCTGTCATTTTATATGTAAAATTATATGGGGAATGTCATCGATCGTCATTTCCAAGCCAACTGGACGCCGTTTTTTTTTCGATCATACGGTATTTTTCTTCGGCCGTGTGTGCACTAAAAAGAACCATATAATGAAACAATTTTATAATAACAACTTAGAAAAAGAATATCTAAAACCGGCATCTGATATAACCTAACTTCTAACTTACTTTTCAAACTCAAATTTAAGGTTTTGTATTCACAATTTTAGCCACGCACATTGTTTAATTAGAAAAAAAACACGTTTCTAAAAGCTAAATCTGGTAAAAATATGCCCAAATATTAACTGAACTCTATAATTTATAACAAAATAGTAATTCTTGCCATAAGAAGCTGTGTATTTTTCAATCTCTTTGATCACATGCGCCCCTAACGGCGATTTTCGAACTTCATTTAGATCATGAAATCTGGGCCCAAAATTTTTGCGTTCGATTCGCCTCCTCCTTTTAGACTCCATAGTTTTATGCAATGTTTTTTTATGCATTTTTAAAGTATAATTTTATAATTTTGGGTTGGTATTTATTTTCATTTCAGATTTTAGATCATTCAATGGACTTGAGAACTGTGAAGCACTACATGTGGAAACATTCCGCTGACTTGGTGTTACATTATAAGATTATTAATACCATTTCGAAATAACTATTTATTTTGTGACATTACATGATATAACTTGCCAAAAAAAATCATTTTTTGTGTCATTTTTGAAATTGTTTGTTTCAATGGTATATTAATCAGTAGGAGCTTACAGACCCTCTAGGTATGAACAAAAATCAAATATAACCTTAAAATAATAAATTTTGTGAATAAAGTGACATAATAAAAAATAGATAATTTTGAGAATATTAAAAAGTCTTCAAAAACAGTCATACTTTTGGTTTTAATGTTATAGCTGATTTTATTCATATCAACAGTGAGATAAGCAGTCTATGCTGTCAAACTGAGGTCTGAATACCCAATTAAGAATATACGTATAGTCTGAATCAATGGAATATAATTTTTATTTATAGTTTATTTATAAAAAATTATATATTTTATAGGTATTTTAATTTATATTGTAAGTTGTTTCCAGTTTTTTTTGTAAATAAATAATATATATTTATCGAAAACATTCAGTTGTTTCATTTCATTTAATTTTTTACCTGTAACGTATAAAATCAAGATAAAGTCTGTCCAGAGAGGATACTTGACAAAGACAGGTTATCTTCTGTCATTTTAATTAATAGGCAAATTGTATTTTGTCGCAGTCTTTTCTTACTCGTTGGACGGACTTTATACCATAATTTTATAACATTTTTGAGTTTTTAACAGTTAATAATGAAGAACAATACAGGGTTAGTTTTAAATAAGTGCAAATATCTTTAGAGATAGTATATTTCGACCACAGAAACACGATTATGAGGTTTTTTTCGTAAAAAAAATTAAAAGTTTTTAGTTAAAAAACCATTTCTTGATGAAATAAAGAATTGTATAGGTATTGGCTGAGGAAATACTTTTATCGTATAGTTATTTTAAAATGAACCAAATGGTTCTTTTAAGATGACAAAAAGGACAAACGAATAAATAGCGGTCTTCTATAGCAACCTAAACAGCATTCTTGCAACTGATTTTTAAGGCTTTTATAGATATTCTAAAAACTGTTAGTCGTCATTCTATAATAATAGCCTAACAACCCCCTTATCAGACATAAGTGTTATACAGGGTGGTCCGAATTGTATTCCGGAAACTTCGGCAGCATATTAATAAAGTTCAACAATAAAGTTCAACAGAAACTGTTTTATCATCATTTTTTTACAGAAACATTTATGATTAATTTAAAAAATAAATATTTCCCAAATTTATTATTTCAGTCAAATAACTAACTACTCAATGTGTTTATTTTTTAGTCAATAATGACATGCATTGACTATTTCTATTCTAAATATCTTGGGAACGGTTGCTCGTAGCAATTTTTACCAAGAGACATTTTTTACGTAAAAATTCATGAAAATGCATAATACTTTTGACAGTAGTTTCATACAGGTACGGACAAAAAGTTATTACTCTTCAAAACAGTTAAAACACATGTAAGTGGCGCCCCCTACAAATAGGACTCATATCGACATCAAAATCAAATTTCTCATGTCAAGAAACTCCCAGATACCAATTTTCATTCAAATATTGACGTTAATTCAGAAATTATTTAAAAAAAATCGAAATAAAAATGAAACTTCTACACCCTGTATCTCCGAAACTAAGCATTTTGGGACATACATTTATACGAACTTTTTTACTTATTTTTATCTGCAGAATATGCTGCCGAAGTTTCCGGAATACAGTTCGGACCACTCTGTATAAAGCAGAAAAAAGTTTATCTTATAGTAGCTGTATTAGCGTATAAATATTTATTTTATAATATCTGTATAGCATGCTTACAGAAACCTATGCTAACTATAGATGCTATAGAGCTGTATAAACTTGGGCCTATTTTTCTTCGGTAGATGTATGAAGCACACTATATCATGTTTTGAGAACAAATCTGTTGTATAACATTTTGTTTTATAGCGTGATATACGATAATTATAGAGATATTTTTGTTATTTGGGTAGGTAGTAGATTAATTTTACAAGAAAGAGAACCCAGAAGAGATCCAGTGTTTCTCAAAATTTAAGCAAAAAATCATTTTTTTTAATTTTCAAAGGAAAATAACTGGGTTATTTTGGACTTATTTGAAAAATAAGGTAAAGAGAAAATCTTTCTTTTATCGAGATCTACCCAGCCCTGAAAATATTATATATCGTCGGTATAGAAGAGTATTAATCAGTTGCGGCTTGTAACCTGTGTGACTGGGTAGGCGACAAAATTTTAGTTGCGTCTATTTGCCCCCCCCCCTCCCGCTAATTTACATAATACCCTAGCCCAGTTTGTAAATATATGTTATCTCTATAGGTTAAATACATAGCTCAAAAATATTTAGGACAAAACTAAAGCAAAAATAACAGCATTCAATGTAATGACATAATGATTGACATAATGTACAAGTATAGTTTTTATTAATCTATTTTATCTATTATTTTTTTTATCTATTACTATGGAGTCACTATGGAGTACATCATAGAATTTAATTTAATTTATATTTATTTACGCAAACTTAAAAATTGGTAGAATTGAGAGAAAGAATAATTATGTTTTATACATTAAATTGATGAGTCGGTCTCTTAATAAAGAAAAGTTATTTATTATTATATATCAGTAAAGTCATCAGATTATTGAAGAGCTGCGAAAAGATCTTTTTAGATTGAAAGTAAGGCAAGTGGCGATAAACGTTTATTTTTCATGGAATCTCTACTAAATATAAATTTTAATGCATTTCAACCTTGAAAAATGTCTCTCAACCCAAGTACTTGTAAATGGTATATGGTATAGTAACAAACAAAACAAACAATTTGAAAGCCTCTGGAAATATAATTCCAGGATTATTCTCCTTAAATTATTTTATGCTCGAAATTATCATATCTATTATTAATACCTGCAATTTATTCATTAATTTATGTTAGTTGGTCATAACATTTTTTGTTTGTTAAAACACTATTAAATGCGTTGGAAGTTGGGAATGTATCAATATAACAAGTTTGTTAAATCAGACGTTAAAAATGCGTTGGAAATTTTTTATAGGATTCTTTAAATTTCGGATCCGCAAGAAATAAATAAAAATAATTGAGACATACGAGTACCTATCTGTAAACCTTATTTCTAAATGTATAACAATGTTATCTAATATTTCATAAAATAAAATTCGCTTAGCCGCTTTTATTAACATATCGAATTGAAATAGCACAGACACATTTTCTGTAATATCTGTTGTATCGTCTTCTTGCACCAAATAAAATAACGCGCTTTTTTATTTCGGGTTCTTTTATTTCTGTGGCGTGTTCTGAAATACAACCGGTTATATCATTTTTAATAATCTCGGACAAGCCCGAAAAATGTTTCCAATTTGCTTTAAACGTTTTTTGAATTTTCATATAAAAGTTTTAATTAAGTTTATTAGTATAATGAATCATATGAAATATCCCCTTAACGAAATGTGATATAAATATCTCCTTATGAAATATCCGGAATATCCCTTTAACATCTAAGCCTACCGAGCCTCCACGACTTCATGCGAAGGCGACCGGGGATTTCGCCTAAGCCCCGCCTTAATATGATACAACTCCGACTTACGTCGCGTCGCTACCGCACGATGAGTTAGACAGAGACAGAAGGCTGCCGTACGTCGTGCATCGACTCGCGATACGCGATGTAGAAATTGCCGAACAAAGGCACTCCAACGGTAAAGGATAATTAAGGATAATAAAGGATAATTTGTCGATTCTAAAAAAAAGAAAGAAAAATCACTGTTCCAGTGTTTCCACGGTCAATGCCACTAATGCCAATAGTAATATCGCAACTAATACTACTAATGCTACGACTGATCCGCGAGCAATGCCCATACCACTAAAGTCGCTACTAATGCCAAATTGTGCTATACTGCTAATGGCACTAATGCGATCGCTTTGTACACAACAATGCCATCGCGGTTTACACCTCGCATTAGTATATCATGAGTATATCACTGATTGGCAGATTAGAGGAAACCAAGAATGTTTTTCTCATTTTATCAGCAAAATCGCAAAAAGTCGCAGTATTTTATTTTACTGTATGAAAGCCCAATGTTTACTAAGTAAAGCGTATATAGACAATATGCTGAATTCTTCGAAATGCGCAACTAAATCTCTAAGTATAATAAAAATGTCACAAATTTAATCAAATTTTCTGAACGCCTAACTTTTAGTTGCAAAAAAAAATCGTTTGTATAGAGAATATCAAAATAAATAATAGGTTTTTGTAGAATAGATACCTGCAGCTTGCTGAGCCATTTTCAATCAAAACAATAATATAAACGTAAAAAGAGCACAAGAACAACAACAATTTATAATTTTAAACATAAAATTTAGCCATTTACCTCTTATCTGTGAGAAGTAACAACTTTGACGTTTCGTTGAACCAAATGAATGCAACTAAACACACCCATAGAAACGCCATTCATGGCAGACATGATTTAACTTATCATTTATCTTTTTTTGGGAAATCTTAAACGCATTTGCTTTTTCGAATTTCGATCACCTTTTTCATGCTAATACCCCACCGTGCGGCCGTTCGTTCGTTCGTTCGCTCGACCATCCGTTTCGAGTCGGTACATCAAAGGAATTCGACAAGAAATGCGTCCGGTCTTCTCGTGCGGTTCTATCGTACGGTCCTCGTCCATACCACGAGGTCCCCATACCACTAGCGAACATTCGTTCGTTCGTTCGGATAATGAATACGCACCTTAACCTTACCTACCCTGAGCTGCTACTGGTATTAATAATAACCCCAAAAACTACATATATCTTATATTTTACTAAATTGCCGTAGCGATTCACTCCTATACATGTAAACGCCGACCTAAGGTTTCGCTTGCCAGCAGGGTAGAATTTGTGATTATGTAATTTGAGATTTCCACTCTGATCTTCATAAAAACCGCGGGCAATGCTGTGTGTATTTGTAAAATATTTTTTTATATAATATGTATAGTTTAAAACAGTAAAAACTATTTTAAACCATAAAAAACGCGTTTTGTTTAAAAATTAAAAAAAAAATATGGGACGGGAACACTGGGTCACCCTGTATAATATATTAGTATTATTATTCAATAAAATATTAAGATTGTATGTATCATAATATCCTATAATATAGCTTGTTTTTCTCTAAAACCGTATAAACATAATGAATAACAGTTGAGTTACCATGACAACAATGTCAAAATGTCACATACAAACAATGAAACAATCCAGTTGTTTGAACCAATTACCTATGAACAACTTGTTTTGCTCTAGAATTTTGAGTCTGGAGATTCAAAATGATCGAATATGTTCGAAAATCAATTTTACAAATCTCTGGTAAGTATTCGTATACGTATATTTAGACAAATATATTTTAATAAGCGTTTTATTTTCATGTTTTGTAATAGCCCTTCAAATGAGGACAGCGATATCTGAAGAAAATTTAGAGGAAAATGTCGAAGGGCTCTCAAATCTCGATGATTTTCTCAAAAATGAAAATGATTTGATTTTATACGGAGTGACAGTATCCAAAAACAATTCCATTGAGTTCTTCAAACGTGTAAGTTTTTTTTATTTACTATTGTCTGGAGAATGTTAATAATAATAAAATATATTACAAAAAAATGTGCGCCATTCTTGGTATTTTTATTGAATCATTTTGAAAAAGTTCATTAAATATACAGAGTGGTTAAGATTTATGTGGCATGACTTTATAGTCTAAGAGCTAGCAACGTTTTCGAGAAAGTATTTTAAGACGTTTCGTCTGGCTCTTTGATATATCTTTTACTATGCTCTCTGGAACAGCATGCGGCCCGTCTGGCTGCCGATACCCGTTGCGTTCAATACTGCGCATCGGAAGAAGAATCTATATTTTTTTATTAATTTTGTCCTATAAATTCTAGTATTGAATATAAATCGAACATAGTCTCCATAGCGCAGTGCGTAGAGATTCCGACCACGAACCGATGATTCATAGTTCGAAATCCGGGTCAGGACAAAGGCTTTTTTATTTTATTTTCGTTTATATTCCGATAGTAAAGTATTAAATAATTCTGGTGATTCAAAAAAAAAACAAATATTTAATACTTTATTATCAGAATATAAACGAAGAAAAAAAGTCTTAGTCCTGACCCGGATTAGAACTCTGAATCATCGGTTCGTGGTCGGAAAGTCTACGCACTGCGCTATGGAGACATGTTCGATTTATATTCAATACTAGAATTTAAATGACTAATAAAAATATAGGATCTTCTTTCAATGCGCAGTAGGGAACGCAAGGTTTACCGGCAGCCAGACGGGCCGCATGCTGTTCTAGAGAGCATAGTAAAAGATATATCAAAGAGTCAGACGTCTTAAAATACTTGTTTTTCCGACGTTGCTAGCTCTCACACTATTAACAGACACATTAATTTGTCACACGCTGTCTATACAGGGTAAGTCTTAAATAAATGCAAATATTTTTAGGAGTAGTATAATTCGACCTCAAAAACACGATTATGAGTTTTTTCCGCGAAAAAAAGGTTTGGAAATTTGGAAGTTTTGGAAATTCTTTTAGTTTTTAGTTAAAAAAACATAATTTCTTGATAATATGACATCATAGGTAGTAGATTAAATTTACAAGAAAGAAATCCAGAAAAGATCCAGTGGTTCTTAAAATTTAAGAAATCATTTTTTTGAAATTTTGAAAGTAAAATAATTCGGTTATTTTGAACTTATTTGAAAAACGGTAAAAAGAAAATATGTTGCTTTTATCGAGATCTACCAGCCCTGAAAATATTTGCACTTATTTAAGACTCACCCTGTATAGATGATATTTTTTTAGGAACCGGATATTTCCTACGAAAAAATGATCGTATTTAGTAAGAGACATCCCTGTGTAACTCATGAGAACTTTATGAAAGATCTACATATTAATACAATCTTGGATTCGCCTACAGTAGCTTTGTATGAATCACTAAACAAGGTGTACTCCCCATTATTTAAAAAGGTATATAATGAATAATACAATCATTTCTAAGCGAACGATATGAATTAATCAAATTGATTTTAATTTTAGTACAAAGACACCAATATTGAACGAAAGTTGGCCACCTTACAATCGAATCTACGAAATACAATAATATCTGAAAATCCTCAGTACGATGGAGACCATCAAGATTTGAATATATATTCACTTTCATGTAAAAACGCGAAATAAAATGTCAAAAATTATTTATTAATTTCTATTTTTTTAGATTCAAATTCTGTCAATGAAGAAATTAATTATTGGAAGTCGATGTCGCAAAACAAAACAGATAAATTATTGAAAAGAAAAGTAGAACATTACGTTGCTATTTTAAGTCCTATAACAAAGGATCTAAGGTTAGAAAAAAAGCATAAATATAAAAAATACTTTTCGAATTTCTTAGAATTTATTTATTTACACCCTGTATATTAGTCCTGGCGTAAGGTACCCGGTGGCGTAGAGGTACAGGATCTCGTCTACCAATCTCAATGTAGTGGGTTCGAATCCCACACCCGGCATTTCATCAGCCGACTATTTTTATTAAAATAAAAATAGTTTGGGTACCTAGCTAGCCACATTACCTTCCTTGTATACCGAACGGCTCTAGTATGGCAAGCTGTACCTTGCTACTCCCAAGGCGTCAAACGCTATATACTGGAGCTATTATTATTATATATTAGTCCTAATAATAAGTGTGTTTTAGTGTAATAGAGGCATTGCCCCTAAATGAAGTGGAGGATCTTTTAGAAAGATGCTACAATGCTCTTGATGACCTTTGGAGACAAGACGGTCACTATCCCAAAGAGAGGATGAAGCATCTTATGGACCTAATAGGCAAGTTACCTTAAAAACGTTAAAATTAAAAAAAGTTAAAGACAGTATGATCGTTGATGAGGGTCCTACACATCCACCATCATTCATCATTCTGACAATATTTTAAAAAGTTATTTTAGAAAGGGATATAACAAAAATGGGGTTTGTTTTCAATAAGGCTCTAAAAATGTGTTTTTTTTTGGCGATTTGTGTTAACGTGTTATATTCTTTTTTTAGGTTATGATTTGTGGAAACACACAATAAAACAACTGAAGGACTGTGATTTGTTTAAAGACGAATACAACCAAATAAGCGAGCTTTTGATTCAAAGCATAGCAATAGGCGAAAAATGGCTGAGTTCTTGTAAACAACTCACTGAGTTGCTTTGGCCAAACTACTCCTCGAATCCTTGGAAAGAAGTGGAGTATCAACCACCAGATTTTGTTAGGTTTATTGAACAGCTTAAAGAGGTAATTTGCCAAAGTCCTAGGGTAGAGGAATACCTAAAAAAAAATAAGAAAAAAAGAGGTGCTCAAACATACAAATAACGTCAAAGCATGTTTTTATGTTTCTTCATATATTCCCAAAAGTGGCTCACCCCCTATAACTTTTTTATATTTTCAGATAAAAAAAACTAGGTGTGGTACTTTAGTATATGACATAAATCAGGATTGATTGACGTATTCAATTTTATTATCTTCAGAAAAATACGATTTGGGCATCTTTTATCCGGCCAGGACAAGACACGGAAAACATTAGATGATCAAACTTATTTTTCCAAGGCTCCTTGATTAAAAATGAGTATTTTTAACACAGACATGGGTCTCAAATTTAAAATTTGATTTTTTTAACCAAAGATGTCAAAATTTGACATCACCATTGGATACCGTCATTAGTTTACTTTGCATGAGGCACACATAATTTTGAAAAATAAATATATGTTTTATAAAATTTTCAGGTGCTGAAAATACGAACTGTTCATAAACAACTATTGCGACTATCCACAGAAGAAGAACTTGATGATTTGAGAAATGAAGTCGTTTTCAAGCCTTTCAAAGATATTGATATTTTGTCATATGACAGTCCAATCGAAGAATTACCTAAAGCCAATAAAGAATTTGAATATTTACTGCAACCTGCGGAAAAGAGGGTTGCTCTAAAGCTGAAAAAGCAGCTAGTAGCTGTCAACGGAAATTTTAGACAAGTAAATAACTATAGTTCTTATCTCGTAACTTTTTCTAATATTGCCTGACTTAGGTATTTCAGTAGCGTACCTGATATTTATGTTATTAAATAATTAATTATTAAAAAATGTCTATACCTATGTGGCGGATTCATCTCAGCAAAAAAATCCTTTATGGGTATTTCGCCACTGCACTGCAAGAAAATCTACAAAATAAAATAGTTATTTTTTGTAAACACACTGCTGTAAACACACTGCTTGTCACTTGCGGACACTGCTTGTCAGAAGTTCTGTTTACAGTTATACAAATTTGCCTAACAAAGAAAAAAATGCTTAACGTTTCGGAAAGTTTATCTCTTTGTCGTCGGAAGCAAAAAAAATACAAAGAAAAAAAAACTATTTAAAATATTTAAATTGAACTATTCGAGAACACTTTACTTTTTTAAAACAGATACGTTTACAAGAAACCGTTGACGTTCTGTTAAAATGACATTATATCTATTTTATTTTGTAGATTTTCTTGCAGTGCAGTGGCGAAATACCCATAAAGGATTTTTTTGGAGTAATTAATTATTGTTATAACAAAATAATTTTGATATTTTTAGCTGATATTCGAATTTACTCGATATTCTGAGCTAATCTGTCGACCAGTTCTTAAAAAAATCCTTCAACCGGAACGTCAATTTCTTCTGACATCTTTGCACGAGTACGTGTCACAGATTCAATCCCAAGCCAATGCTGGACCATCGAAAATAGTCACCAAACAGGAGACATCTGACGTGGTGAAAGAAACCATCTTTCTCAGGCAGCTAGAAGCCAAAGTCTCTGAGGTGACGTTGGTCACCAAGACGTTGCTTGATGACTTAGACGGTATAGAAAGTGTGACGGACTTTGTAACCGGCGTGGCCAATGATTTGAAGGTCCAGAATACTGAGTTATTCGAGTCTTGGTGTTCTGATTGTGTTGCTGACATCAATAGTCGAAGTCTGAGGTAAATTATCTTACATCCTATACGTCCTATACCGGGGGTGCGTCTCAAAAGTGGCTCACCCCTATAACTTTTTTATTTTTTCAGATAAAAAAACAAGATTTGGTATGTTGTGATTGACGTATTCAATTGTTTTCGGTCACTTACCGTTTTCCCGGAAATTATTACAACTTTTGATTTTTAATTGGCACTCTCGGTATTTTTATACTTTATTCGATAGAAAATAACATTCTGAATAGAATGACAATGACATTATTAGATATGTCAATTTTTGACATTCTCGCTTATTGAAAATTTGTATTTTAAAATTGAATTTAGAGTGGCATGGCTATGTCAAAAACACTAATTCTTAATCAAGGAGCCTTGGAAAAATAGACTTGATCGTCTAATGCATTGTCTTGTCCTGGACAGTTAGAAAATGCTCAAGTCGTATTTTTAATCATATCTTAATTTTTTCAAATGGAATGAGGGTGACTCATTAGCATATTTGGAAAAAGCACTTTTTTACGAATAATTTGATACTATACACTTGGTATTTCGAGTCAAATTTTCGTTACGAACCGCAAGTTATAATTTTAAATAAATCATGCGAAAATGTCAAAAGTTGACATAAGATATGTCATTCTGTTCAGAGTGTTATTTTCTATCGAATAAAGTAATAAATACCAAGGGTGTCATTTAAAAATCAAAAGTTGCAGTCATTTCCGGTGAAACAGGAAGTGACCGAAAACAATTGAATATGTCAATCAATCCTAGTTTATGTCATATACTAACATACCAAATCTCGTTTTTAACTGAAAAAATAAAAAAAGTTATAGGGGTGAGCCACTTTTGGGACGCACCCGGTATACCTATATCTCAGCGGCGTAGCGTGGCGTTGATACAAGAGGATGTAATAAGTAACTGCAATTAGCATTTTACCAAAACAATAAGGTTAAAAAAATAGCAAATCAATTTAAAAAAAGAAATAATTTAGGTAAAAAAACAAAGCTATGAACGTATCTATTAGATAAAAGAGTAGACAAGAAAAAAATAGCCAACGAAAAAGTTTATTGAGTGCCTCACAACTAGTGATGGGATAACTCGAGCGAAAATTCGCTCGAGTACTCGACTATTGACACAACCGACATCGTTCGATTATAAACCAGCGATGCAAGTGACGAGTTACGAGCGACGAACGCAAGCGATCCTAGTATGAAATAAATTGAAAT